TGGTCTATGGGCATGATACAATTGAGCCATACCAGCCAGTACCAGAATAACATTTTTTTTTTTACTATTATTTTCACCTCCATATTATTTTATTTTAATTATTTTAAATTTACATTTTATTAACTATGCTATTAGAGTTGTCCCATTTTTTCCTTCTTTGCCTCCCTCCACCCAGCATTCCCCACTCTCTCAGGTAATCCCCACATCATTGTTCTTATAGAAACCACAGAAATCATTATGCTAATTAAAATTTTGACTCTTGATAGCAAATGACATTTTTCCTTCATCACCCCCCAACTGAATGTATAAAAATATGTGTCTGAAATTCGTATACTAAAAATACTGTAAGTCAAATAAAATCATTTCTGGTGAACAAAGGGGTGTATAGAATTCCGATCTGGGGAACACAAATTCATTGTTTCGGTATTTATCGAATACCCACTCTGTACCAGATAAATAGGAACACAGAGTTCCTGTCCTTCAGGTTTTTCCACATTATTCAAGAAACCAAGGCAATCACGTAACTACATTATAAGTTGCAATGACATGCAAACAACTAAGGGAGCACTGCTGCGGCATCTCGTGTACGAAGTGAACACTGCTGCAGTGTCCTCAGGTGCACAAAGTATCTGCACAAAATGACTTAATTGTTCATTAATCCATAAGTGTTCTACTATCTTAATCCTTTCTGCATTGTGTATGTAAATTGCAAAGATACTCTATCATACAATGTACAAATAAACAATAATAAAACTGTTAAATAACTATCTTAAGTTCAAATAGATAAGCAGGAACTAGAAGCCTTTTTCCAATCTCTCAAATTATTTTTCCCCAATAAAGTGTTACAGTCAGACCTACAGTTGATAAATTTCAGCTGAAACTGCTTTTTGTAATTCCACAGCATTCTAAGTATAAGGAACCTCAACTGTAAACCTACTTTCGCCCTACCCTGTATATATCTTGATAGTGAGAAACAACAGGCCTTTAGTGGGAAAAATCTCTGCTTAATATTCAACTATAAAATAGTGACTATGGTGGGAGCCAATTTAATCATGGAATATGAAAATAAAAGTAAAAAGGTAAGGCATAAAATTTCAAATATCAGAAGGGGGTAGGGAAGCTGCAGTAGTTTCCTAACTGTTCTATTTGACCAGATATACTACTTTCAACAGTTGATGCTCAATAAATATTTGTTGGATGGATAAATGCAAAATGCTGTGTCTTTCTTAAAACTTAAAGCAGCCAACGTGCTTAGTCTGCATATTTATCTCAACCCCTCTTTCACTTAATATTCAATATGACTCTGATGAATAAATCTAAAGGATGACTTCACCAAAGCAATCTCTTAATAAGCATTAACTTAATTAATATGACTATTCATTGCTGCAGCCCTAAGAATTGTTGGGAACCATCCTGCCTGGTTTCAGGGACTGCAGCCTCGCCAACAGGTGAGAGGGCCCCAAGAGGAGCTGAGCAAGGAGACCTTGGGAAAATAGGCCACTAAGCAGACAAAAACGTGTCTTCCTCAAATCACCCTGCTTGGCCCCAGACGATGGCTGGTTAGTCAATGATGGATAAGACCCCTCAATGGTATGGGCAACCTAAGAAAGGCACAGTTGCATAGGGGCCATCAGGGAAGGACTTGGGGGACACTGAGGAAGTGCAAAAGACCCTCGCCCCTCAGCTTTGTCATGGCCGGAGTCCTCATTCTATCTGAAGGAAGTTTCCTTATCTCTTGGCTGCTCTGCCCGCTGTCTGATCGGGTCAGTGAAACAATACTAAAGGCAGGTATAGCCCTAAACTGGAGGTACAGCCCTAAACTGGTAGTTCCTGGGGACAATTAGGCCTGGGAAAGGAATATATTAAATCCTATGAAACTTCCTTTGCTAAGAATGCCCTTGAGTTAACAAGAACTGATGTTTGGGGTTGAGCATAGAATGTGATCAGTTTCCCAGGTTTCAGGGCTGAATGGGCACCACCCTGTCTACCAGACCCTGATCTGAGGCAAATCTCTTGTGTTCCTTCAATTGTTATCTAGGATCTCTATTTGTTTTCTGTAAACATAGCCTTTTGACATTGACAGATGAGCTTTGCATCCATGCTCTATACCCCTACCCCTATGCTTATGGTTCTCAATAAAAGCCACTTCAAGAGAAGGGCTCGGGGCCTTCTCTGCTAGAGGGAATAGCCACCCCTTTCCCTGGCAGACCGAGAGAAAAGTGTCTGGGATGACTTATTTTTTTTTTCCCATCCATGGCAACCCGGAGTGGCCTCTGCAGGACAGAGTCCGACCTCCTCCTCAGAGAATGATCACTTTCTTGGTTTACTAGAGGCAGTTTCAGTAAGGAAAGGTAAAAATATTTTATGTATTCTTTCACAAATCTCAAAATGCTTCTTAGAACTTAAGCTACACTTGGTTGACAATCCTGTAATTGGCAAGAAATCCTCCTATCTCTAAGATAGGTAGACGGCAAGCTTTTCTTTTTTTCTCTTTTAGTTTTGTCAATGCACAGGAATAAATGTAAAGATTCCTGGGACTATTTTCCTTTCATGGTGTCTCATCCCAGACTTTGGAGTGAGACAGAACTGGGTATAAATCCCAGATCTAATACTTTGAGCCCTGGGCCCTGGGACCTTTCATAATTATGTAACTTTTCCAAATCTCAATTTTCTTCTCTATAAAATGATAAAAATATCTGTAATATTGGGATGTTAGGGATAACTTAGATAATGTAAGTAAATCACTTGGCAAAGTTCATGGAATACAGTAGTGCTTAACAAATAGCTTCCTTCATGTTTTTTGTTCTATTCAGACTGACTGAATGAGAAACATTCACATTATAGGACAGAATCTGCAATCTGCTTTACCCCAAATTCACCAATTTAAATGTTAATATCATCCAAAAACACTTGCCAAGATCCTTAGTCCTGTGACCAAATCCACGCAGCCCTATACTTCTGCCTGGCACTTCTCTCAGTGACTTCTCTCAACCCCATTATGAGCAGGCATTATATTACAGATGAATAACTGAACTAGTGGGGAACCTAAGTTCATTGGTTCAGAACTCTCTCTGAAATCTTTCCTCAAAGCCCTAATGCTCAGCACAACAGTTTTGTGAATTTTTTTTTCTGCTGAAAGCAAGGAACAAAAATCTAGTAAAACAGGAGGGAAGTTAGTACCTCAACTGGTGTTTTCTGAAATGTAGAGAAAGTCTGCATAACAAGTGTGATAAAAGAGGCTTTTGGCACCTCTAAATTCTCTGTTCGCCAGCCTCTAAGAGCCATCTTGAACACGCTGTGTTTTTGAAGCCTTCCTATCAGATCCCTCTGTCCTCCTCCACAGTACTCTAGAGATGTCCTGCCTTTAGGATGTGGCACAAGAGACATTTAGGGAAGGAGGGAAAAAGGAAGGGAGGAGAGAGCAGGTAGCAGCTAGGGAAAATAGGGTTGAAATGGAAGTTTTCAAACTCCTGAGATTTGAAGTCAACAAAGTAAACATTGCTATTGTGTTTTGTGGGACAGCAGTAACTGACTTACATCCCCATTGTTGATTTGTGCAATTACTCATTCAATCAGTCAACACTGAATGACTATTTACTGTCTTCCCAGGAAGTGGGATTTAAAAGAAAAAGGAAGACCTGGGAAGAGAGACATAACCTGGATTTCTGGCATTCAATCCCCCACTCCAAACTATTCAGCAATCCAGCCAGATCATTTTTTCTTCCACCTTCTTACTGTAAACATTTTCAAACACAGGAAAGTGGAGAGGAGCACAATGTGCATTTTAGGGGGAGCACCCCAAAATGTGCCACTTTGGCATGTGGATTGTTTTGAACTGAAAGTAATTAAGACCCAAAAGACTCAGGAAAAGCTTTATACTTCTCCCATTAACAGCCTAAGAAAACTTACCAGATAGGGAGCCTATACCAGAAAGGCAGCTATTACCAAAGACACCTGTTTATATCAGAAAAACTTATCTGCATGGCAGGGCAAACATTTGTTTAGCAATGATTTGTTCTTTTCATCTTTCTGTGAATTGTATTCCTCCCCCTTTGAAGCCCCAGAAACCTACCCTCTTTCTCCTTAGCTCATGATGGCATATAAGCCCCAACTGCCTAACTACCTTTGTGTCGCTTAAGTCTTTGTGGGGCTCCTGTACATGTAAAATTAAATTTGTTTTTCTCCTGTTAATCTGTCTTATGCCAATTTAATTATTAGGCCAGCCAAAGAACCTAGAAGGTAAGAGGAGGACATTTTTCCTCTTCAACCACACCCACATGCCCCAACAGGTTCATGCATTGAACACATACCCACACGCCCCCTTTTCTCCCTGAACCAGTTGAGTAGCTCTCAGAGATGTGACACTGTGACATAAAGGGTTTCAGCCTGTCATTTTATACCTTTCTTTGCCTACTTGATCACAATGCCATTATCATGCCTAGGAAAATTAGAAATGATTGCCTAATACTCAATTATCAAAAAAAAAAAAAAAAAAAAGGGAGGTCTCCTATAACTTTTGCAATGCATTCAACAATTATTTCTTGAATGAATGAGTGTAATCCTTTTTCTGCAGTACTATGTCCCAAATAACTGACTGGGGTCACACAACCAGTAACATAACAATGGATTAATATGCCTCAGGTTCCAATACATCGTCAATTCGAATTAGGTGAGCAGAGACTTCTAACCTGTTCTAATCTGTAAACTGTTTATGATTTGTCAAGTGATCAGCTAACAAAACAAATCAAGCCAACTTTTAAAAGACTTTACAAATGGCAACTCAGATATTCCTGATAATCTTCCAGTTCTAAAACCACAGAACTAATGGCAATTTCTATCTTGCTATCTTTTAACTTTCTGTGTCTCTTTTTTTATTTCGATTACTTTAGATTTTCTTTTATATAAGGCATTATTTACCACTTATTTTAAATGGCACTATTCAGTGAATTTTTAATAGAGTGTTAATTATTTTTCTGGTTTAAAAAAATCTATTATCTTACCCATCCATAAGCAGTACTTCGTTCATGTTCCTGAGTGACATCAGCTACATAGGCAAATATCACAGAGAACGTGACTGAGAAGACTCCAGACACAGAAATCATTGCAAAATACCACCTAAAAAAAGAATCATTTCAATTACGCAGAAGAGGTAGTGTATGTACATTTTTATAAACAGAGCCAAAGATATATAGATTATAAACCAAAAAGTAAATTTTAAAAATATGCATGAAAGAGGACAACTAATAAAGGCATGATCAAGATGGAGAGAAAGACATAAAAACAAACTAATTTTGTCACTGCTGACAAAACATGGGTGCCAGCACATGCAGTTTAAATAAGCTTTAGAGGAAGCCAAAAGAAGAGAAATAAAAACTTTCTAAATTTCCTAGCTTTAGTTAAGAAAAAGATAGCATGTATAGCAAATAACTTAATAAGAGCTACACAAAAGAAGGCTAACAAAAAATGTTAATGTAATTAAGACCAAAAATTTTTATCATACGCATAGATACCTTTAAAAAAAAACTGATTAGACACTTGCAAACAGAACATCACAGAACAGAAATGAGGATTTGTCCCAGATATAATAATGTTTCAATATTAGAAAATATATTAATATTCATTATAATAACAAATCTAAGGAGAAAAATAAAATGATCTCCATGGTTGCAACAATGCATTTTTTAAAAATTTGACACCGAATGTTTACTTTATAAAAGAACATCTCTGGATAAAATAGAATGAGTATTTTTCAATCTAAAACCTAGCTTATAAAAGCTAGCTTAACACTTAATGATAAACATTACAATATTTTCTTTATTAAGAGAAAGATAAGTCCACAATCATCACTTTTATTTAACATTATTCATTAGTCAACAGAAGTAGCAAATGCAGCACCATGAAAACTGTATGGGAATAAGTAAAATCATTTAAAAATCTAAAAATAAAAATAAAGTTTAAGGTATTTAGAGGATACACACAAAAAAAGCCCTAATTCATTGGAAAAGCATGACATGTTCTTAAACAGAAAGACTCAATATCAAAAAGTATTTAAAATTTTTTTTCATCTGGTAGAAAATAAAATGATCCATTATGGGTACCCAACAGATATAGAATGTGACAAATGTTGACATTTTAAAAATTCCTATCAAATAATCAAATGATGGTATTTTCACATGAGCTATAAAAAGAAAATCTCTTAATTGCATTAAAAACAAAACACAAAAACCTTCCATTCTAAGGTATGGTCCTTCACATTGCTGAGTTAAGCAAGAGGAATTTTGGCCAAAATGCCATCCTCTGTACTCTAGAGAAACAACTAAATTACAGCTCTAGTGCAAATTACAACTCATCTTTGGTAACTAAATAGACTTGTTCACACACTAAATACTCCCTTCTTATTTATCACAAAAAATGAGATCAAATTAAAATTCATATTATGGCTCTGGCTGGGTTAGAGTGTTGTCCCAATATGCCAAAGTTGTGGGTTGATCTCTGGTTAAGGCACATACAAGAATCAACAAATTAATGCATAAATAAGTGGAACAACAATCTGATGTTTCTCTCTAAAAATCAATAAACATTTTTTAAAATTTTATATTATGATTTAGAATAGGCTATTGGTCTTTACCACATTATATACAAAAGTGATCCCTACCTATTGACATTAGCTATGTCATATCAGTCCCCTAGGCCAATGAGATGACAAAAACAATACATTTGCAAAGTCAACTGAGCCATAGCAGTGAGTACAGAGATCCTCAGCTCCCTCCTGAGACTCAATCCTGTAACTCGCCTCATAGCAACCACAGCTTTTATTTCTATTTTTTCACTTCAGACTTAATTCTGTACTCTCTTCATTTCCCCATTTATAATATTGGCAAGATGGTAACTACCAAAACTGGCTTTTGGGGAGGAGCTAAGATGGCGGAGGAGTGAATGGGAGTCACGCTGACCTCCTCCCAAGATCAAATTGGAATTGCGACTAAATAGTGGAGAAATCACCTGGAAAACATTGGAACGATAGAGGGAGAGGAGACTTGGAGCCGCAGACAGACAGTGGATTCAACTCTCACACATCCCAATGGGTGAGAAGTGTGGTGTAGGCTCGAGAAGGTGGGTTGCGCACCCACGGGCACCAGCACCAGAGGGACATTGAAACGGCCAGTTGGATCCCCCTGAGAAGAACAGGGTCTGAACCATAAACAGGGACCCCTAGACTACAGCAGCTAAAACCAGAAAAACGCACAAACAAAACGCAACCCCAAAAAGCTCAGGGACGCTCTCTACTAGAGACAGGTGGCGGGAGATGCAAAGAGACATTTAAAAGGCCAACACAAAAATTTGCAGTGGCAGCCGCCCTCCTTGATCTCTGGGTAGAGGCGGCAGCAGAGTGGGCTGGTGCCTGGGAAAAGATTGGTGAGGAAAACTTTGTGAAGAGAACTGAGATGGAGGCCAGCGGAGTCCCGGTGATAACGCACCTCCCACTCTGCAGCTAGCATGTCGCTCAGGCATAAGGGAATCAATTAACCTGCCTTTTGTGTGTTCCGCACACAGCTTGTGTGCGTGTGAGCCAGGGGGCTAAGTGCTGACAAGCTGGAATAAATAGAGGATCCCTGGCCAAAGGAGTCACACAGCTGCATAGAGAGGAGAGACTAGAGACGGAGGCGTTGGAGAAAGAACGGGAGGAGGAACCAGGGGAGTCACGACTCCTTCTCCTTTCTGTAGTCTCCATTGTGCGGGAACAGGCCACACCCCAAAGAGCCAAAAGCTGAAAAGCACACAATAGACACCCCAAAACCTCCCAGTGAAGGCGCCCACACTCGTGCCTAGTGGCTGGTGAGGGCTGGCGAGCGTCTCTGTGGATCCACTTGAGCTGGCGAGGGCTCGCACAGGTTGGCGCTGACGGGGCGTGCGAGGGAGTGCACAGATCGGCGAGGGCAGGCAAAAACTGACCCGTGCAGGCCCGCAAGTGCAGAGAGTGGATCCCAGGCGAAAGGAGTCAAAGAGCTGCCCAGAGTGCCTGGAGGAGAGACTGGAGACAGGATTAACCGGAGTCCTGGAGCTGACTTCCATTTCTGCAGTCTCCATTTGGCAAGGGCACGCAACGCACACAAAGACCAAAAAGTGGGGAAAGCACACAATAGAAGACCCTAAACTGACCAGTGCCAGGGTGCCCGCTGGCCTTGGGGCCAGATGAGTACATGAGGTCGGGAATAAGCCCCCTGGGCTGGGGCAAGCACGAGTGAGCCCAGGCAGGTGCGGGATCCTGCCTGGTTAGGGAGTGCGCTCAAGGAGTGCCGTGAGAGTGCAGAGCAATCCACAGAAATAGTGGATCCCTGGCCAAAGGTGTCACAGAGCTGCCCAAAGCAGGAGTCAGACACAGACAGTAGACTTATGGAAGGCCCAAACAAATGACCCAAGGTCATGTAGGGTCAACAATTGACATCAATAGAGGCAGGACCAGAAAGAAAAGCAAAGGAAAAAACAAACAAACAAACAAATAAAAAAAAGACCCACCTACTACCATAGAAGTTTAATCCACAAAGTCAGGAAATCTAGACGGATCAAATAAGCAGAAGCAAAACTAAAAAAAATAATTAATTAATTATTTTATAGACTCTCGTAAAAATGGGAAGAAAAAGAAGTTTCCCCCAAATGAGTGGAAAAGGAGGTTCCCCACAGAGAGAGCTAAATGAAATCGAGGCGAGGAAACTATCAGATAATGAATTCAAAACAATGGCTCAACGGAAGCTCAATGAGCTCAGACAGCTCAAAGATAGCTTTGAGAAACTGCAGAGAAACTATCAGGATCTTACAACAAACTATATCGACCTGGAAAAGGACATAGAAACTATCAAGAAGACACAAGAGGATATGAAGAACACCATTTCTGAATTGAAGAACACAGTAGAAGGAATCCAAAGCAGGCTGGATGAAGCCGAGGATCGAATCAGTGAGACGGAGGATAAGGTAGAAAAAAAGCTCCCAGAAAGAACAAGAAATGGAAAAAAGACTCAAAATGAATGAAGAGGCATTTAGGGAAATGCAGGACAATCTGAAATGCAATAATATCTGCATAATAGGGATACCAGAAGGAGAAGAAGAGGAGCAAGGAATAGAGAACCTCCTCGAAAAAGTAATGATGGAAAACTTCCCCAATTTGAGGAGAGAAAGTGTCTCATGGATCCAGGAGGCACAAAGGGCCCCACTCAAGAGGGACCCAAGGAGGTCCACTCCAAGACACATCATCATTAAAATGATATATATAAAACACAAAGAGAGAATCCTAAAGGCAGCCAGGGAAAAAGAGAAAGTAACATACAAGGGGGTCCCGATATGCTTAGGAGCTGACTTCTCAACAAAACACTACAAGCCAGAAGGGATTGACAACAAATTTTCCAAGTCATGAAAAGCAAGGGCCTACAACCAAGGCTGCTCTACCCAGCAAGGCTCTCAATTAAAATAGAAGGGGAAATAAGGAGTTTCCCAGTCAAAAGAAAGCTAAAAGAATACATCTCTACCAAACCAGCACTCCAAGATATGCTAAAGGGACTGGTTTAAGAAGATGATGGAAAAGAGTGAGAAAGAGAAAAACACAGGTACAAACAGAAAAACTGAATAGGTTTCTATCACTAATAACTCTCAATGGAAATGGACTAAATGCCCCAATGAAAAGACACAGGGCAGCTGAATGGGTAAGAAAACATGACCCACACATATGCTGCCTACAAGAGACCCACCTCAGAGCAAAAGAGCTATACAGATTGAAAGTAAAGGGATGGAAAAAATATACCAAGCAAATGGGTAGGAGAAAAAGGCCACGGTTGCCATACTTGTATCAGACAACGTAGATTTCAAAACAAAGGCCATAAAGAGAAACCCAGAGGGGCACTTTATAATACTTAAAGGAAGAATCTATCAAGAAGACATCAACATTGTAAACTTATATGCTCCCGATATAGGAGCCCCCAAGTTTATAAGGAAATTGTTGGATGACTTCAAAAAAGATATAGACAGCAACACACTGATAGTAGGGGATTTCAACACCCACTGTCAAAAATGGACAGATCTTCCAAACAAAACATCAGTAAGGATTTCGTGGAACTGAATGACGCACTGATCAAAGAGACTTAACTGACATATATAGAACCTTACATCCCAAAGAAGAAAAATACACCTTCTTTTCAAATGCTCATGGCAGTTTTTCAAAGACAGACCACATGATAGGACACAAAGCAAACCGCAGCAAATTCAAGAAAATTTAAATAATACCAAACTTTTTCTTGGACCACAAGGGCTTATAACTGGAAATTAACCTCAAGAGAAACTTCAAAAACTTGCAAACTCATGGAGACTGAACAGTAGACAATTAAACAATGAATGGGTCAATAATGAGATAAAAGAAGAAATCAAAAAAATTCTGGAAACCAATGAAAATGAACAGACAACAGTCCAAAACGTATGGGACACAGCAAAGGCAGTCCTGAGAGGGAAGTTCATAGCAATACAGGCTTACCAGAAAAAGATAGAAGCATTTCAAATAAAAGACCTAACTCTACAACTTCAAGAACTGGAGAAACAATAACAAATAAATCGCACAGCAAGCAGAAGGAAGGAAATAGTCAAGATTAGAGCAGAAATGAATGACATAGAGAGGAAAAGAACAATTCAGAGGATCAACCAATCCAGAAGCTGGTTCTTTGAAAAGATAAATAAAATTGACAAGCCTTTAATCAGATTCATCAAGAATAAAAAGGAGAGGACCCAAATTAATAATATCAGAAATGAAAGAGGAGAAATAACAACTGATACCACAGAAATACAAAGGATTGTCAGAAACTACTATGAACAATTAATTATATGCCAAGAAATTTGAAAACCTGGATGAAATGGACAAATTTTTAGAAAAGTATAATCTTCCAACACTGAAGGAGGAAGAAACAGAAAGCTTGAACAGACCGATAACAGCTGGGGAAATTGAAGCAGTAAGCAAGATACTCCCGGCACACAAAAGCCCTGGGCCAGACGGTTTCACAGGAAAATTTTACAAAACATTTAGGGAAGAGCTAACCCCTGTCCTTCTCAGACTATTCCAAAAAATCCAAGAGGAGGGAAGACTCCCAGACTCTTTTTATGAGGCCAGCATCACCCTGATCCCAAAACCAGATAAAGACCCTACAAAGGAAGAAAACTACAGGCCAATTTCGCTGATGAACATAGATGCTAAAACCCTCAACAAAATATTGGCAAACCGCATCCAGCAATACATTCAAAAGATTATCCACCACGATCAAGTGGGATTCATCCCAGGGATGCAGGGATGGTTCAATATACTCAAGTCAATAAACATAATACATCACAAAAATAAAAGAAAAGACAGAAACCACATTATCATCTCGATAGACGCAGAAAAAGCATTCGATAAGGTACAGCACCCATTTATGATCATAACACTCAGCAAAATGGGAATAAATGGAGCATTCCTCAACGCAATAAAGGCTATATATGAAAGTCTTACAGCCAACATCATACTTAACGGGCAAAAAATGAAAGCTTTCCCACTAGGATCGGGAACATGACAAGGATGTCTGCTTTCACCACTTCTTTTCAAGATTGTATTAGAAGTCCTAGCCACAGCAGTCAGACAAGAAAAAGAAATAAAAGGCATCCAAATAGGAAAGGAGGTAGTAAAACTATCATTGTTTGCAGATGACATGATAGTGTACATAGAAAACGCTGTAGACTCTACCAAAAAACTACTCAACCTAATAAGTGAATTCAGGGAAACAGCAGGATACAAAGTCAGTGTTCAGAAATGAAAGGCATTTTTGTACACCAGCAATGAAATAGAAGAAGAAGAAATCAGAAAAAAAAATACTATTCGATATAGCAAGAAGAAAAATAAAGTACCTAGGAATAATTTTAACCAAGGAGGTAAAAGGCCTGTATGCAGAAAACTATACAACATTGAAAAAAGAAATTAAGGAAGATACAAGCAAATGGAAGCATATACCATGCTCATGGATTGGAAGAATTAATATCATCAAAATGTCCATACTACCCAAAGCAATTTATAGATTCAACGCAATCCCTATTAAGATACCAATGACGTATTTCACAGCAATAGAACAGACATATCAAAAATTTATATGGAACCATAAACAACCCCGAATAGCTGCAGCAATTTTGAGGAAGAAAAACAAAGTAGGAGGGATCACAATACCAGACATCAAACTCTACTACAAAACCACTATACTCAAAACAATCTGGTATTGGCACAAGAACAGACCCATAGACCAGTGGAACAGAATAGAGAGCCCAGAAATAAGCCCAGGTCTATTTCTGGTCTAAATATAGGCATCTAATGTTTGACAAAGGGGGCAGAAGCATAAAATGGAGCAATAACAGCCTCTTCAACAAATGGTGTTGGGAGAGCGGGACGGCTCCATGCAAAAAATTGAAATTGGATCATCAGCTGACACCATACACAAAAATAAACTCAAGACAGATAAAAGACTTAAATGTAAGTCGTGACAGCTAAAAAGTCCTAGAGGAGAACATTGGCAGGAAACTCTCAGATATCCCAGGCAGCAAGTTTTTCACTGTTATGTCTCTTAAAGCAAGGGACATAAAGGAAAGAATAAGCAAGTGGGAGCTCCTCAAAATAAGAAGCTTCTGCACGGTGAAAGAAAACATCAGCAAAATGAAAAGGGAGCCAACCCTATTGGAAAATATATTTGCTAATGATACATCAGATAGAGGTTTGATCTTCAAGATATATAAAGAACTCACTCAACTCTACTCCAAGAAGACAAGATCCAATCAAAAAATGGGCAAAGGACCTGGGCAGACACTTTTCCAAGGAGGAGATACAGAGGGCCCAGAGACATTTGAAAGGATGCTCAGCATCACTAACCATGAGAGAAATGCAGATCAAAACCACCATGAGGTACCACCTCATACTGGTCAGAATGGCCATCATAAACAGATCCACAAACAACAGGTGCTGGCGAGGCTGTGGAGAAAAGGGAACCCTAGTACACTGTTGGTGGGAATCCAGACTGGTGTAGCCACTGTGGAAAGCAGTGTGGAATTTCCTCAAAAAGCTGAAAATGGAACTGCCTTTTGATCCAGTGATTCCCCTGCTGGGACTATACTCTAAGAATACCAAAGTGCCAATACAAAAGAACGTATGCACCCCAATATTCATAGCAGCGCAACTGACAATAGCCAAGTGTTCGAAGCAACCTAAATGCCCATCAGTAGATGATCTGATCAAAAAATAACGGTACATTTACACAATGGAAATCTACGCAGCAGAAAGAAAAAAAGAACTACTACACTTCGTGACAGCACGGATGGAACTCGAGAGCATTATGCTAAGCGAAATAAGCCAGGGGGCGAAAGACAAATACTATAAGATTTTACCTATAAGCGGAACCTAACCAACAATACAAAGATGCAAGGAAAATGAGACCAGCAACACTGAAAAGAAAAGAAACCAACAGAGACAAGAGGGATGGGGGGGGGCGGGGAACGGTGGTAAAGGAAGGGAATGGGAGGGTTTGGGAACATGTAGCAAGGTCTCGTATAGAAAACCAAAGGGGAAGGATTGAGGGAGGGGTGGGGAGGGGAGCCAGGGGAAGGTGGTGTGGGGAAGGCAGAGAGAAATGTATTTGAAAAAATAAAGAAAATAAATGAAAAAAAAAGAGCAAGAAAAAACAAACAAAAAACCCCCTGGGTTTTGGTATTACCAAAGAGATCAAATGAAAACACAGATATAAGTGCTTTGAAACGATTAAGAAGGGCTCTTGCAGATGTATTATTCCTATGTGACCCAAAACAGTCATGATGAAGAAAGGCTGAACCACTCACCAAGGGCTGATCCTCATCAATGGAATTGGGAAGCAAGTAAAGAAGACGGTGCCTAGGAGAAAGGGCTTCCTCCCCCAAACATCAGACAAAGCACCTATAAGTGGTGCACTCAGAAAAGAGAGCAGGCCCTGGAGAAGAAAACAGAAGCAAAGGTCAGATATATGATGCAATTCCCCAATTACTTGTAATTCTTATTTTCTAAATAAATTTTTAAATGCTGTAGTTCATTTTGTTGGCCCCAGAACAGAGTAATTTGAAACATTAAATATAAACTGCCATTAAAAAAATTCCAATAAAATTTCTAAATATGCTGTTAGCGAAAAAAGGAAAGAGCTCGTTTTCTGGGAGAAACTGGAAAAGAAAGGTGATATGAAATATATACATACCCAGAATTGGCCCTTAAGATAAAAATACGCCAAGCACATGGAAGAAACCAGAATCTTAATTCACTTTAATAAATATGTACAGTACATCTATTAGGTAAAAAGCTGTGAATTAACTGGTGCAATAAAGACCTAAATGAATACACACCTACTCTCAAACTGTCTGTAAGCTAATAGGGATAAACAGAACAAGCATGCATACACCAAACGTCCATAAGGGAAGTTAAAGTTCTATCTTCCTGCTGAACTTAGGAAGAAGATAATAAAACTCAACAGAGTTGAGGCTAAGGGGAAACAAGAAGCAAGATACCACACATAAACAAAAGAAGTAAACTCATGTTGACTGTCAGTCACTGTTGGCTGGCCACTTTCGTATCAATTTCCTGTTTGACCTCAGGGTCCTCTGAGGTGGCCAGAGGCTTGACCCTCAGGCCCTGCTGGTGCCACAGTCCTTTCTTCCCCAGTTCTGTCTGCACAATTTGAGCAGATATCCAATCTCTTCTGAGCTCCATGCTTATAGTCAAATGGACTTCTCTATTAGGATACTTAAGATGTATACTCTTTCCTCTACAGCAGTCTCCTCTATATATTTCAAGACCCTAATGGTTGCCTGAAACCACAGGTAGTACCAAATCTTGTATATACTACCATATTTTGCCATGTATGATAAGCACGTTTTTGCCCAAATTTTTGAGGGGAAAAGTAAGGATGTGCATTATACATGGGTAGTACTAATTTGATACAGTTACACAAAATTTCTTGTACCTTGTATCTGTTCTTGTTTTGCAACTATTTGTTACATAAAATTTCTTGCACTATAATACGCTCAAAAATAAATGCTAAAATTCCTTTATAATACAAAAAATAAGTATCTTAAGTATAAATAAATAAATAATTGAATAAAAAATTAATACAAAAGATTTTTTCCCTGAAAGTTTCGGCCAAAAACATGGTTGTGCATTAAACACGGTACGTTTTTTCCTATATGCACATAACCATGATAAAATTTAGTTTATAAATTACTAACAATAGCTAATAATAACATATACTATAATAAAACTTATGTGAATGCGATCTCTCTTTGTCAAAATATCTTACTTCACTGTACATATAGTGTGGATATTCTGGACAAAGCACTGGCTGGTGTGGCTCAGTGGGCTGAGCACCAGCCTGCTAACCAAAGGGTTGCTGCGTTCGATTCCCAGTCAGGACACATGCCTGGGTTGCGGGCCAGGTCCCCAGTAAGGAGCATGCGAGAGGCAACCACATAGTGATATTTCTCTCCCTCTCTCTCCTCCCCTTCCCCTTTGTCAAAAAAAAAAAAAAGAAAAAAAAAAGGGCGGGGGAGGTTCACATGCCAGGTGAGACTGTGCAAGATTTCATCACTGTACTCAGAATGGTGTGCAATTTAAAACTTATGAATTGTTTACCTCTGGAGTTTTTCATTTAATATTTTGACTGCAGTTGACCACAGGTAACTGAAACTGAGGAAAGAAACTACAGCAGATGTTGTTACCATAAAACAGTCAGTGGGAGCAGTGGGGAGTCTCTCCCCATTGGCCAAGATGGCAGTGGGGGAAATTCTTACAATGAGTATGCAGAAAGCTAGAAATATCAATGGATAGGGCCCTGAGCATGCAAAGAGCTAATAAGATAATTGGATGGAAGAAAAAGCCCTCCTCTTCCTATCCATACAAGAACCTCAGGCCTGAGCAGGAAGCTGAGATGGTCTTTCAGGTGGAAATCTGCCACTCTCCCAAGGTCGCACAGCACCTGAAAAATAAATACCTCTTTTCTTTTGCATTAGCATCTGCCTCATGAGTTTGGCTTTTGTGGCGACAGAAAGCCAAACCTCCATTTTTGTTTGGTTACAATAAGGCAGGACAACTGTAAACCTGACCAGACACCCACACTTCACACCTTGGCTAAGAAGCCCTCCAAAGCTTCCTCCTCCATCCTTCCACTCCCCAAGGCTATTGTTTAGACAATTCTTTCTTAAAGGCCTCTCTATATCCTTCCCCTGCTGTCACACACTTCAGCACTCCTTACCTGAATTAAAATAAAACCATCTTCTAACTGGCCTCTGACCCTGGTCTTACCTCCCAGGAATGTCCTCCACATATCCCAAGAGCAATGATGAGCTGCCAGTATCAGCTCTTTCATCCCTTCTTTAAAACCCAGTTATAGTCTCCTTGTGCAGAGTTTAAATTCTTCAGCATGTCAGTGTGAAATAATGTGTCTGAACTTTGCTTTTAAATACTAAAGATAAAAATGGGTGGGGAAAAAACAGGACAGATGAGACAGGAGTGGGAAAATGTTGATAAATAATGAAACTGGATGATGAATACATGGGTGTTCATTATATTATTTTCTAATTCTGTGCATTTGAATTTTCATAGTATGTTTTAAAAATTCCTCAACATAGCATATAAACATAACCACACAAAATCTGGTACCTAACACACATACTATACTGTGCTATACATAATACTTTTCAGTTTTCTGAATATACCATGTTCTTTTTTGGCAACGTGCCTTTGCACAGGTCCTTGCTGTGCCTGCATGCACTTCCATGCTTGTACCTGATAAAACTTCAAGTCATTCTTTACAACTCTGGGTGAGAAGCAACTCTTCTGGCATTCTCTTAGCTACTCAAACAGAATTAACCTAGTACATATGTGTTCTACTGTAACTGTAACACTTTATTACAATTACTGGTTATTTGTTTATCTCCTCTATTGGATTACAAGTTGAGGTTAAGGTCAGAGGAATGGTTTGCTTTCATTTCAACTCTACCCTTGGGGCCTATCACAGGGCCTGGTAAATAAGAGCTTTCAAAGAGGTTTGGTGAAATCAATATAACTTTTAAGAGAAAAATCAATTCACAGTAGTTTCCAAGGTCTCATAGCTAGGAAGAAAAGGAATAGGATACCAGGTCCTACCAGCCACTAGTAAACTCAGAACCCAAGGCCAGGAGGCAGGTAAACTGAAGGGAAGGTGATAGAAAGACTCAGTGAAGGGCAGTAAGCTGAAGAGAAAAGCTATTTGGCCCCTCTGAAATAAAATAGTAATCCTTGTAATTTCTAAACCACAGGGAATTTCCAGACCTTTCAGTGTGTTCATGTGTCAAGAGTAACAGATCAAGTATTGTATTAAATGACTTTCTTTAAGGGCTAATGATGAAGAACCTATGCACTCCAATGTTCATAGGAGTGCAATTTACAATAGCCAAGTGTTGGAAAGAGCCAGGGTGACCATCGGCAAATGAGTGAATCAAAATAAAAGTATGGTACATTTACACAATGGAATACTACACAGCAGAAAAGAAAGAAGCTCCTACCCTTCAGGACAGCATGAATGGAACTGGAGAGCATTATGCTAAGTGAAATAAGCCTGGTCATGAAAGACAAACACCATATTATCTCACCTATAAGTGGAACCTAATCAACAAAACAAACAAGCAAGTAAAATATAACCAGAGACATTGAAATAAAGAACAAACTGACAGTAACTGGGGCAGGGTGGTGGGGGAAGTGGATAATGGGGGAAAGACGGGGAAGGGCCCTCAAGGAACATGTATAAAGGACCCATGGACAAAGCCAACTTTGGGGAGGGGGCGTAGGACTGATAGGGAGGGTGGGCGATAGTGTTGGGGGGAAAATGGGGACAGCTATAGTTGAAGAACAATAAAAACAATCTTTTAAAGTCTTCGATTTTGAAGAAGTGTTAAAAAAAAGCTAATAACTACAGAGGCAGGGCTCAAATTCTGGACTTGTGACTATTAGTTTCGTGAAAGTTAGAAAAGAAAATCTTTCATACTGCATGGAAATTCTCTAAAAAATAGTACAAAATTGGTCAAGAAAAAAATTGTAAACAAATTTAAGAGGACAAAGCTGTAGAAATAATCACCACCACAAAAACAGTAACAAAAATTCTTTAACCACAAAGAACCCTGGAATAGTTTCACACAGTTCTAACTTCAGAATTTATACCATGCTTTAAATTATGGAAGGTATGCCATTTTCAAAATATGAAAAGGCTGAACATTAAAGCAATTTAAATAATGTACTTTTGAGGACTTCCAGACAAGATGGAAGCATAGGTAGACACACTTTGCCTCCTTGCACAACCAAAAGAAGGACCACAACAAATTTAAAAACAAAAAATAACCAGAACTGCCGGAAAATTGAACTGTATGGAAGTCCAACAACCAAGCAGCTAAAGAAGATACATTTATCCAGACCAGTAGGAGGGGAAGAGATGGGGACCAGGGTGGACGGGCCATGAGGCAAGGCAGTGGCTAGAGATGACAGAGTCCCACATTTGCATGCTGATAAACCTGAGGAACAGCTGGGGATCGAGACAGACCATGTAATCCAGGGTTCCAGTGCAGGAAAAGAAAGCCTCAAAAGCCCTGGAGGTAAAAACCTGTGGGAGTTGCAGTAACAGGAGAAACTCCCAACCTCACAGGAGAGTCCACTGGAGAGACGCCCGGGGTCCTAGGACATACACAAACCTCCCCACCCAGGAGTCAGGACTAGAAGGGCCCAATTTGCTTGTGAGTAACAGAGGAAGTGACTGAAAGCTGAGAGCTGAGCAAGTGGCTTTGCTTCCTCTCTGACCCCTCCCATACATACAGTATCACAACACAGTGACCTGGGTTGCCTTGCCCTGGTAAATACCTAAGGCTCTGCCCCTCCCAACATAACAGGCTCATAAGACAAAGAAATATGGCCCAAATGAAA